GCATGACTTGCATTGTACGCCCTGACAGTTTTCCGTCAAAGCATGCAGAGTTTAAACTACCCTGGAAGATCGAGCGGCCTCTGCCGGCAGTGTAAGATTAACGAGTAAGATCCCTTTTTGTATTTAAAGCTGAAAAGCAAAGCATTCCCTTAATTCCATAACTTTCGTACAAATTCTACATGTCGTCCAGGTGGCTTATCCCGGGCTGAAAGTCACCATTGCCAGAAGAGCAAGCCGTTACCGCTTTTTATCTTTTCCTTCTAGACTGTCCAACGACTGTTTTAAAGCTGGCACCTCACTGTGGACACCTCTTCATGTGAAAAAAGGGCTCTATCTGTTGCTGCAAGACTGTCACTAGCCAGCCACGCTACTTGGTATGCTACTTGGTATGCAAGTGTTGGGAGCTCGCACGCTTAATTCCCCCGTTTCCTGGCCGCGCCAGGTGGTCTTCTTTCCCGATTGAGACGGACATCTCCGGAGCTTCCGAAAGAGTTTACATCATTGCGCTGTCAGTACCCTACGATCTACGAAAGTACAGTCAACTCTGATCTTTCCTAGGGACGCCTTTATGAGGCGTACCACTCCCTACGATGGACACCTAGAGTAGGTCCATGCCGTTCTTCACAGCACTCTTTATGAGCCTGTCACCTCCTCAAGACAGATACTTAATTCCGGTCCAAAGGTAGTCTGGTGTGTATATTTTTTCCACCTAGCGCCTTCACTGCCTACGCCTAGTTTTATTATTCCGTGCGGCCTAGCTATGATTTCGCTGACGTGCAGTGGTACAATCTCATTCCACCGTACCTAAAAAGACGGCGACTGGTAATTTAACCCACAGTTCTTAGCGATGATGAAAACCTTAAAATTGCTCATAAAAACGCACAGAAAAGTTTTATAAACTTCAAACCTAGGATAGGCAATGTTGCTATCACAGGGACGAATTTCGCCCCCCACCCCAACCAAAATATGACTTTATGTGTAATTAGCCGTGTTAGCTTCGAAAGGAATTGTGGTAAAATGCACAGCAGCCATCTTTTACCGTACACTACGGCCGCTGGGGGTAAGCGCACTGAACTTCTTCTACCATGACGTGATTTGATTATCGCTGACTTATGAAAAATCCTTCTCTGACACAGTGGTCCAGCTTGAATGCTGGTTTCGATGAATTTTTTGTATCCCCTTTTCACCACTACAGTTTGAAGTTTCTCCGACTGGCACACCTGAGAACCCTAGTTCGTTGAGCATGGTGGGGAAGAAACCAGTGATACTGTGCCGACATAGCTATCTAAAATCAGCATTCTCGTTATCAGAAAGTCTAAACAGGCTAAATATGCAGCAACACACAATGTGACTCTTGGTAGAGAATCCATATGTTGCATGTAGCTTAAGAAAACAGCCAACATTACGCGACGCCACCGCTAGTTGTTCCCCGCGAAATGTCTGAAACTCATCCCCAAAGAAATTCTCGTGAGCGACCACTTTTTTGGGTGGTCGATTATACGGGAGGTTCGACTCGACTGGATATTACTATNTAAGTGGTTGCAAAGAAAATCTTTCAGTACTGAAACTGGTTTGCTTTTAGAATTCTCTAGAAAAATTCCTCTTGCATTACAGGAGCCTTCGCATGACTTGCATTGTACGCCCTGACAGTTTTCCGTCAAAGCATGCAGAGTTTAAACTACCCTGGAAGATCGAGCGGCCTCTGCCGGCAGTGTAAGATTAACGAGTAAGATCCCTTTTTGTATTTAAAGCTGAAAAGCAAAGCATTCCCTTAATTCCATAACTTTCGTACAAATTCTACATGTCGTCCAGGTGGCTTATCCCGGGCTGAAAGTCACCATTGCCAGAAGAGCAAGCCGTTACCGCTTTTTATCTTTTCCTTCTAGACTGTCCAACGACTGTTTTAAAGCTGGCACCTCACTGTGGACACCTCTTCATGTGAAAAAAGGGCTCTATCTGTTGCTGCAAGACTGTCACTAGCCAGCCACGCTACTTGGTATGCTACTTGGTATGCAAGTGTTGGGAGCTCGCACGCTTAATTCCCCCGTTTCCTGGCCGCGCCAGGTGGTCTTCTTTCCCGATTGAGACGGACATCTCCGGAGCTTCCGAAAGAGTTTACATCATTGCGCTGTCAGTACCCTACGATCTACGAAAGTACAGTCAACTCTGATCTTTCCTAGGGACGCCTTTATGAGGCGTACCACTCCCTACGATGGACACCTAGAGTAGGTCCATGCCGTTCTTCACAGCACTCTTTATGAGCCTGTCACCTCCTCAAGACAGATACTTAATTCCGGTCCAAAGGTAGTCTGGTGTGTATATTTTTTCCACCTAGCGCCTTCACTGCCTACGCCTAGTTTTATTATTCCGTGCGGCCTAGCTATGATTTCGCTGACGTGCAGTGGTACAATCTCATTCCACCGTACCTAAAAAGACGGCGACTGGTAATTTAACCCACAGTTCTTAGCGATGATGAAAACCTTAAAATTGCTCATAAAAACGCACAGAAAAGTTTTATAAACTTCAAACCTAGGATAGGCAATGTTGCTATCACAGGGACGAATTTCGCCCCCCACCCCAACCAAAATATGACTTTATGTGTAATTAGCCGTGTTAGCTTCGAAAGGAATTGTGGTAAAATGCACAGCAGCCATCTTTTACCGTACACTACGGCCGCTGGGGGTAAGCGCACTGAACTTCTTCTACCATGACGTGATTTGATTATCGCTGACTTATGAAAAATCCTTCTCTGACACAGTGGTCCAGCTTGAATGCTGGTTTCGATGAATTTTTTGTATCCCCTTTTCACCACTACAGTTTGAAGTTTCTCCGACTGGCACACCTGAGAACCCTAGTTCGTTGAGCATGGTGGGGAAGAAACCAGTGATACTGTGCCGACATAGCTATCTAAAATCAGCATTCTCGTTATCAGAAAGTCTAAACAGGCTAAATATGCAGCAACACACAATGTGACTCTTGGTAGAGAATCCATATGTTGCATGTAGCTTAAGAAAACAGCCAACATTACGCGACGCCACCGCTAGTTGTTCCCCGCGAAATGTCTGAAACTCATCCCCAAAGAAATTCTCGTGAGCGACCACTTTTTTGGGTGGTCGATTATACGGGAGGTTCGACTCGACTGGATATTACTATACGGCTACTTCCCTCATAGCTTTACAGGGATAACTTAAATGTAAAACCACGATTGGGAAACTTTTGCCAGCCTGCTTAAATATGGTGCAGTTTACACTTTGATGAAGTAATGAGTTATCAATTCCCCTAACGTGAATTTGAAGGGGAGATAGACCACCACACTGGGTATGTCCCCAGCGACAAATGTTGGGTTCTCCCAAAGAATTTATTACACGTGCGAGGGTTGTAAGGCAGAGCCTACGGTTCATCGTCCTTTCCTGAGAAGACTGGACAGATCAACCGTTGGCAAATTAAACCAACGGCTTCCCGCTCAGCAGATCAGCACGTATCTAAGCTAACTGGGTGGCGGTTCAGAAGGGCTTACCGTATTTATTCGATTAACCGCCCTGGACGCTTATTAAATTTTTGGACCTTGAAAGTGGGCGCTTATTCGAGGTGGGCCCTTATATTAAATTTTCAGCAAGTGTAGTATGTTTATTTTGCAACAAAACAATAAATGGTAAAGACAAAACGCGAAGATGTAAACAAAGCAAGGTTCCTGTAAAATACTTTGAAGAAAACTCCGTCTTCGGTGAAGTTTCTTATTAGTACTTATTCAATTTTTGGGGGGGTGGTCGCTTATTTGAGTCTAAGTGGGAGTGGGAGGGAGGTGGGGTGGGCGCTTATTCGAGGCTGGGCGCTTATTAACTTTTTCTGCCTTTAGGATGGGCGCTTATTCGAGGTGGGCGCTAATTCGAGGTTTGGCGCTTATTCGAATAAATACGGTAATACAAGACCAAGTTTTCTTCTTAAGTTTTCAAGTTCCAAGTTTTCTACCTTAGCAAACAGCCTGTTTCGCTCCCTTCGCGTTCTCCGTGCTAGAGTTCGACCCTCGATTACGATCGAGACATGGGTTACAAAAAAAACTGACTCATAATGGCTACACTTCATTTTATTGTTGAGTTTGTCACTCTGAAGGATAAGTCATGGGGCGCACTCAAACGGGGCGAAATCGGCATAATCCCTTCTTACACCTGCCTTAACTAATTCATGACCAACATGATCACATGATCCCTTAGAGTTGTGTCAAGTTGCAATTGCCAGAAATATAACTGGCTCTGAAAAAACAGATTTATCGACAAGCATTGTTATCGTCTCTCCCTTAAAAAAGTACTCTTTTTACCACTCCTGGCCAAGCCAGACAGATCCAAGTTTTGTTTTTTAATGTGGCTTTTCGTTATCTATTATACAGAGCAATACAATAGGCTGTACTGTGAACAATAAAATTAGGCACTTGAAACATGCCACGGTCATACGAAAATATACATGCAGTTGAAGACTGTTATAATACATACTCCTTTGAATGAAAGCGGTAGCTGTGTTTAGTATTTAGAGTTCCACATCACAGGAAAAATATACATCATGAAACACCCTGTATTCTCCAATGCACCCTTCTTTCTCGTGGATCTTTATGAACAAGAACTTGGTTTCTAAGACAAGATACAAGATTACAGCTGTAAATCATTGAAAGATCAAGATATTCTGCTCAAAAGAGTTAACATTACCTAAAGCAACAGTGCTCAAACGTTCATTTTGAGCTAAACAAGACAAGTACCATGGAACATTACAACACAGCACTGATACCTTACAGTATATTCTGCAGCTTGTTCAATAATCTTAAGAGAAAGCAGATGTTTATGAAAACATTTTCAAATACTTAATGTAGATCTGTTAATGACATAGCCTATATATACAGCCATCTCTCCTCGCTCCTTGCCACGTAATGCCTTTTGCGGAAACCTCTAGCTGTGAGGGGTGAGGAGAGACTAATGTATTTGCAGACTACGAGGCTTTGATGACAGTGTCTTTTAGAACTGACCAGAGTCAAGATCTGACTTAGAGAAACTTACATAAGGTGTTCTGACACCATACTTGCTCCAGAACGTCACTTGACATTTGCGTTTATGACCTGTGCGCTGGTCAAAAGACTGACACATGTCAAAAGCTGGGATATATACATGAAGGGTCGCAGCTGTGTTTGTATGACTAACATTCTCCACACGATGAAGACCTATGCTGTCTGTCAGCAAAAAACAAAAAATAAGCAGAAGTATCCCAATAATTTGTTTGCATACAGGTACATCTACAAGAATAAAACTATTAATACCTACATGTGAAAATTACAAACCTTTTGCGGGTAGTAGTATAAACAAATAATAGCATGATTTGTACGTGATATTTGGCATAAATACCACTCATGCAGATATTTCAAAATAATATTGTCTCAAATTAGGCGAGTGAAAATACGTATAACAATTTTGAAATATCACTCGTGGTATTTATGGCAAATATCACTACAAATCATGCTATTACCTATACTAACAATTTGTTACTTTGATTATTACAGTCACTAAACACTAATATTTGTGTGTAGGCACATTTAATTTTTTGAGTCAAGAGAGGGACACTAATCCAAAGGAGGCATTCATTTTGTTTTCCGAGGAGTGGGCTAACAATATTATTTCTGTAACCGCATAGGCCTAATCTCACACTCCAAATCCTGTTTCCTCTAACAACCTGTCCTCTTGAGTTCAAGATATTGACCTCCTTCTAATTTAATAATGCACTCAGTAATAATATTTTATCTCTGTTAGGGGAGGGTTGGGGATGCATATTTGAAGGGGAGCTTAACTAAAATTGTTAGCCTCACCTTTTTGAAGGAGGGAACTAATTCGAGCATTTACGGTATAAAGTTTAGACAGTTTCTCTTTTTTTTGCTAGAAATGATATGATGTGTCAATGGGATTTAACATTTTTGTCAGCTTGCTGTTGTTTTGTGCACAAATGACAATTTATCATACCATTAATGTATGCAACTTCGTTTGTCTCCTGAAACCTTGTTGCAATTGGTTCCAGAGGTTTTTCAGGATCAGATTCTGAAGGCCAAGCAAACTGAGTTTCCTTGAGTCTTCCATCAAGTACTTTTAGAAAGCAGTGAGCATCAGAATGATCATGAATGGAGCTGTAAAAAAAAAGGAAACATATTTTTGGGTGACTAAAACCTGTATGATGGTCCGTTAATTAATCCAATAAAAGTGGTTACCCTTCCATTTTGGAAAACTGTCCAATAATTTGGGTAGTTTCCTAAGACATTACTTTTGAAATGCAAGGGCTTAAAAAAAATTAATTCCAACGTTTTCTTTGGACAATCAGCCCTCACAGTTTGCTTGCCTAGGGCCATTGCTTGCTTGTCTTAGCTAATTACTTTAGTTAAAAGATTACTTGTTGCCTGTGAGCTTAAAAATATACCTGCCCAGCAAGAAAATCTACTTGTCTGAGAGAACCAGACAGAGCTTTTGTTGAGACTCCTACCAGTGTTTCAAACTGGTCGTGGCTGCTGAATAGAAGCACTGTAGACTCATTTATACACGGTTAGCATCAACCTAAGGTAATATATTCACAAATTCCAGTCAGAAGAAGACCTGCGTACAGCTGTGTATATCATTTTAAACTCACATTAAGGCACCTCCTTGCTGGGAATTTGTGAATATTTTACTTTATGGTGAGGCTAACGCTGTATAAATGGGTCTTAAGTGCTTCTATTCAGCAGCCGTGATGAAATTGAAACTGGACTATTTAAGACAAATGGAACAGTTTGTCTGAGCCAATGAAATGTGAGAGTACAATGGATAGCAGAAACCAGCAATCAGTGCAAAGGCTCTGAGACAGTATGTAAGAAAACCATTCCAGCAATAGCCAAGGGAAAGCAGACCCTGTGAATGTTGTTTCATGACAGCAAATGCCATTGTCTTGTTATGGTCTTAAAGGATACTGATAAATGTGAAATAGTAAATTCTTAATTGACCAAGCTTGTTCTGTCAAGGTGGCTGTAAATTCTTTATATTGCAGTGATTTTGTTACCTCTTCTAGGGTTTCAATAAGCAACCACTGCCGACGAAACGAGTCGGCGACTTTACACATTAAGGTCGGCTACTTTTTTCTGGAAAGAAGAAGCAACTAGTTTGAATAATGTTGTAAACAAAAATATATCAAAATCTGAATGAAAACGTAGTCATGATTTGTTTTCCGAAAGGCCCACTGGTGTGACATTATGCTTTAGTCACGTGAATGCTATAATTCAGTCATTTTTTCACAAGTTTCTTTATAGGTTTACGCAGAATTTGTTTACGTGGAAAAGTACTTAATTTAATTTCCATCATTTGTCCATTGCCTCTAGGAATGAAAAACACGCTCTTTTGTCCTTAAACTTAGTCCCCAGAATGCTGAAAATCGCATTTTAGGGCTTTGGAATTTCAAAGTTTTTCTGGGGCAGAAGGCACCCAGACCCCCCCCCCCCCTTAATAAACGGGGTCCAACAGCCCCTTTTTGATACAGTCGGTTACTCTATTCAAACCTGCTGCCTACTTCAATATTTATTGAAACCTCTGCCTCTTTGTCTTGTGTCTCTGATGCATAAAAATCCCCAAAGATGCAAAATAATTTATTCATGACATGCATCTCGTAGGACGCAAANCCCCCCCCCCCCCCCCCTTAATAAACGGGGTCCAACAGCCCCTTTTTGATACAGTCGGTTACTCTATTCAAACCTGCTGCCTACTTCAATATTTATTGAAACCTCTGCCTCTTTGTCTTGTGTCTCTGATGCATAAAAATCCCCAAAGATGCAAAATAATTTATTCATGACATGCATCTCGTAGGACGCAAAGATCAATCAATTGATCTGAATATCTGCATTTGTAGAAATATCCGACCTGTTTGTGTAAGTTCTGAGGCCACTATTAGGGATACTGTTTAACAATGAATATTTCTTTTAGTCTTTGTTGTGCTTTAAAATAGAAGGACTATATTTTAATTTATTCAGTACACTGTAATACTGAGTTTTGAAGTCTGTCTTCAGATTATAACTGTCTGGTTACATAAAGGCCCAAGCATTTTGATTTCAGGCACTTTTTTAACTCATTGGTTCTGGACTGGGACTCATGATTTATCACAAGATGAGTCTCAGGTCTCACCATGTTTATTTTTAACAAATTTACTGATATTGGCTTCCTTCTATTTTTTGCAGTTTTAAGGAAGGACAAACACATTGGCCAATATCTATCCATCTTGACCACACACTTGGTCAATAGCGGATATTACCCATTCATACTTCAGCAAGTGCAGGTTAAGCACTCACATTAGTCTCTAACCCAAGTAAAATGTTTCCATAACTCACAGTCAAACCGTCAAAAACCGTGAACCCATACATTTATTACCCTTGCATGTTTCGAATCCATCCACATTAACTATTTTTGTGAGAAAAAGTATGAAATTGTTGCATGCATAATAAATGTATGGGGTTAGATAGAAATCTTACCAAATATTTCAGAAAATAATGTTCATTGTGTTATGATAAAAGATAAGGACACATGAGCTTGCAACAAAACCATGCATTAATTACTTCTTGCTTGTGGTTTAGTTTTCTCACCACTGATTGGTTTTTTCTTGCAACAAAATGACTTTCCAGAATTATTTCTGGTGCTCATGGTTTTCCCGGTTTGACTTTAATGCTGGTTACGTTACTGACTCCCTTGAGTGGACAGGACTCTTCAACAAAACAATATTACTTCCCAGTTCACTTGTGCACAAGAAAAATCATTAGTGATCAAGAGATTGTTGTGGTTTGGCCATAAACTTGGATCTAATGTCTAAACGATAAACTAATAAAAAGTGAAATACTTAAGCTTATAATATCTCCGTAAGCGCAAAGTTTCCGAGGCAAACTGTTCTAATTAGCGGGAACTTCGAATTCCGCGGTTGCGTCATTAATTTGTAGCAATTTGCATATTACATAATTATAGCTCAAATAAGTGTGTATCGCACAACTTCCTAAACAATTTGGTCACTCGGTTTTTGATATTTCTATCATTTTAACGAAGGCAAAGATTCTTGAAAAAAGATGAGCTTACATTTGGCAGGTAAATCGTAATTGGACTAACCTGCCTTGACCTTCTCCCCAGCACAACACGATCAAGTTAAATTTGCCATTTCCTTCGTCTACCAAGTTCCTTGTGTACCTGAAGAATTTTTTAATCACACCATCAAAACACTTTTAGATTATAGACTTCGATTAAGACTTAATAAACACACAAATGATCAACATAATGTCATCGCCCCACCTGTGAGGATCATAATTTGCGTACTTCGCCCAATCCGCGGGGTTTGAACGATACGATGATAAAAACGAAATAACCTCTTCAACATTCACATGGTCGTCCTCAAAAAGAACATGAAGACCTTTCACGACATCATCCAATGTTTCAGGAGATTTCAAACATTTCCGAACCTCCATAAGAAAGAACTTTTCTTGTTCAATGGCAAAAATCGTTAACCTACGCAATCACTGTAAACTCACCCGCGTAGCGTGGCGAAGGAAACCACGTGCGCGCGCACGCGGAGTGCGTGACGTCATAAGTGTACACACCCCCAACCATCCCCCAACCCCACCTCCAATTTGCGTAACGCAACGACTACGTTGCGTCAAGTTGTCGGTGAGTAGGTAAATAAATATCGCTAAAACTAGAACTACCTCAAGAAATACACATCTCTCCAAACTTTGCGAATCTCTCAAGTTACAGCTTTTTTTAGATAACCCGCGACCAATGTAAAAAAAGTAAAGGATTTTGGGTTTTTCGGCGACGTCAATCAAACCTCAAGGGCCAAGGCATACAACTTATTACAAAACATATTCTTGAGGGGGACATGGGGGTTTACGGTATTGCGGTATTGAGCTCTTTTTCAAGCGGTATTTCGGTAATTTTGAATTTAATGTGCGGTATTGCGGTATCATCCAGCCGTGCGGTATGCGGTTTTTCATCCTTCTGGCTAACGTTGTTCGGTAAAAAATTGAAGATCCTTGACGGTATTGCGGTGCTGTTCATTTGGCCTCTCCTGTCTAATGAAGGTCAATTTTTGGAGGACTTTAGACTTAACCGTAAATGAATACACAATTTCTGACAGTTACTCTATGATGTGGTAGGACATCCAATGAACTGGCTTTTCGATCTTTGTACCGATCAATTCGAGATCTTCTCACGTCGCAAAGACTGAGGTTGATTCCTGGTGTATACATGCTTGAGATAAAAAAATAAAAATAAATAAAAATAAAAAACACGCGAGATGGATACAACGTTAAGTAAGCGTCGCCGATCATAAATGCGGTGTCGGTATTTCGTCCATTTTCGGCACGGTATTTCGGTATTTGCCAATTTTCCGTACGGCATTGCGGTATTGGGTACCCCTCAATGTCCCCCTCATTTTTCAACACCAACAATTTGTTGAAAGTTTAGCAAAGCTTTCGGAACCCATACGGATCCCTTCATCAGTGATGACGTTTGCTGTTATTCGCAGCTTCCGGTCATCTGTCTTCGTCAACGCCTGGTAACATTAAAAGATGAGATCGCGGTTAAGGAGAAATGTGGAGTCATCAGAGTCATTTACAATATCAAATGCAAGGATTGTGATGCAGGCAGAGCTCACATCGGTGAAACAACAAGGAAACTGGGTACTCGGGCTAAATGAACGTCTGCTGAACACGCCAATGACGCAGGCCACTCTATCGACTGGACCAGTGTCAACATTGTTGGCCAGGAAAACCACCTGCTTTCACGCAAGATACGCAAGGCCATAAACATTCATAATCGGTGACTGGAAATGAACTGCTATCCGGGGCTATAACTAGCCTCCCACGCAGGCGTTTTTAGGGGAGCTCGTCTTTCATCCCTTCCCACAAACTGGGGATGAAAGACAAACAGTTTGTGGGTAGGGATGAAAAGCGAACTCCCCTAAAAACGTATGCGGATCGTACTACGTGAGAATTAACTCTGCATGACATCAACACGACACCGAAAGAACTAAAAAAAACAGAGCGGGATTGTAGCCATAGACAGCTGTTTCGCCCTCTTTGGGGCTAGTCAGTATGGCGTAACAACACAGAAAACTCTGGTGAAAAATATCCGCGCACTCTGATTTAAGCCCTGATGAAGAACTCTCAAAACCAACGGAATCACGCCGTACCACGTGTCTTCTGGGGGGCAAGAGTCCAAGTGTCAAGTTGATGTTTTGCAGAGAAAATAAAAAATTGGCCAAAACCAACCTAGCTATAAAGCATGGACAAAACCATGCAAGAATTACGGCATATCGGATCTATAAAAGATCTACAGCTCCAGAATACATAAAGTACAAACATTAACCACAAAGGACTGCAAAGGACCACAAACGAATATGCCGAAGAACGTAGGATCACAGGCGGCCCAGACGTAGTATGTGTCACTGAATGAATATATTAATATCCACATGGACAAATTAATGCGATGAGTCGTCGAAACTCCCATGGACTAAAATAGTCTAAAAGTCAAAATATAACAAAACAAAGCTAAGATACCTTCAACTGAACGTATCCTTGTCTTTCCTGGCCGGTTTAAGTGGCATTTTGTTGAGTTTTGAAATTGTAGGTACTATCCACTAAAGAAGAATTAAAGGCTGGCTACAAAACAAACAGACCATCTCCACGCGCCTTCACACGAAGCGCTATAAATTCGAGAATAATCGACGAATCCGCTCCAAATAACCATCGGCTAATCTGCAGGTAACGTGTGCTCCTGCTTCTGGCTCGCTTGCTCCACAAAACCCATCACAACTGCACAATAATTGCTCGCTCATCAACAACCACTGTTGACCTTTACGCTTCGATATGACCGCAAACGACCAGGTTTAATACGCGACGTGAATATTCAAGCTTAGCGACCGCGTTCGCGCAACAATGCAGCACTTGCTATGGGAGGGATGGTACTATTGCTTCCAGGTCAATCGACTGACCGAAGGTTCGCTGCGTTAGTTTTGACCAGAAAACAAAAGGCGATCGCGGGACCGTCCGTAAGTTTTCAACAGGGCAGCCCTGGTTTTCATGTTCGAATTCTTCTAACGTTCGCTGTCTCAGCTGCTGTCACATTGTTCGTCCAGCCGCTTGCATAGGTTCTTGACTCTACCAGACTTATTTGCTTAGATTAACAACGTCTTACTCCATAATATGTTGTCCAAACTGGTGAAGGAGGACGAGAATTTTCCGCCCAGGAAAAAGGCAAAATCTGGCCCCCGCTATGCAGCTGAATAGAAGATACAGCTGAAGATATCGTAAGGTAAAATTTATGTGCGCGATATCTTTTTTTATTATTATTATTATTCTCAAAACTCAGGGGCACCCAACGATGATTTCCCCCTAAATGCATCGAAAACACATTTAAGGCTGTCCAGGGTACTTTTGATCGAAAAATGTATTCTAAACAGCGCTTACATAAATTTAGTCAGGAGGGCTAAAAGCGAAGCTAATGATTTATAGTTTGCTCATACTAAATATAAAATATATCGTGTAATGCTAAGCGGAGAAGGCAACGAGACAGGGCCACCCAACGACTGTTTCCTCAAATACTTTCAATTGAAAACACTTCTGTAGCTATTCATAAAGTACTTTTAGCTCTATAGAAATGCATTCTAAGTGGCGCTATAAAATTTGCATCTCAGTGTTCGGCCATTCTAGAGGAACTTGAGTCTTTTCGAAATTACGAGGAATTCAGAATTATTTTCCCGAAAATTTTAGATGCAATTTAACGTATTACGAAGGAGATAATTTTTCAGATACCTTCTTTCATCACATTTTTGAATCCGAAAATTTTAGGATTCCATTTTACTCTCTAAGAAAAATAGCCTAACCCGGTGAGTGAAATGTGAAAAATTAAAAGTTGGATGCCCTTGACCAGAACTGTGAAAAACAACAATAGGTCTAATTGCAGCACACTTTCTTGTACATTTCCTTGCCGTTGATTTGCATGACTGCAACGTGAAACGTCCAGAAAACTTCCTGGTTTTCACTTTTTATGGAGAAAATGTGGTACATGTTCTTATTCACTTTTTCCACTGCCGCTCATTTTTTTTAGCTCCGCTATAAGATTCGTATCTGTTCGGTGCTCCTTGGGCAAATTGGATCTTTTTAAAAAATGACAAGGGCATCAATATTATTTTCCCGATTGATTGACCTGGAAGCAATAGTACCATCCCTCCCATAGCAAGTGCTGCATTGTTGCGCGAACGCGGTCGCTAAGCTTGAATATTCACGTCGCGTATTAAACCTGGTCGTTTGCGGTCATATCGAAGCGTAAAGGTCAACAGTGGTTGTTGATGAGCGAGCAATTATTGTGCAGTTGCGATGGGTTTTGTGGAGCAAGCGAGCCAGAAGCAGGAGCACACGTTACCTGCAGATTAGCCGATGGTTATTTGGAGCGGATTCGTCGATTATTCTCGAATTTATAGCGCTTCGTGTGAAGGCGCGTGGAGATGGTCTGTTTGTTTTGTAGCCAGCCTTTAATTCTTCTTTAGTGGATAGTACCTACAATTTCAAAACTCAACAAAATGCCACTTAAACCGGCCAGGAAAGTCAAGGATACGTTCAGTTGAAGGTATCTTAGCTTTGTTTTGTTATATTTTGACTTTTAGACTATTTTAGTCCATGGGAGTTTCGACGACTCATCGCATTAATTTGTCCATGTGGATATTAATATATTCATTCAGTGACACATACTACGTCTGGGCCGCCTGTGGTAGGATCTATAAAGACCTGATCAGCAAAAATGAAAAGTAGACGTATAAAATAACGACAACGACAACAACGACTTTATAAAGATAATGTGCCTTTAGTTGGCTTGACTATTATAGTAATACAACTAACACTCTTTGCACGTAGCTTCGTTGCCTAGTTGATTTCACATTTTCGTTACGAACTTAAGCTGATTCTCTTGTTTTATACTGCGCACAACGAGATGGCCACCACGAGCCCGCGTTTCACCAGTGGATTACCATGGTATAGCACCGAGCAGCCCGGCCTCCAGGCCCAGCTTAGTAACCACGTTTTTTCCACGAGGTTTCATTATCTCGTCCATTCTCTTGATCAGTTGTACTGAACTCTGCTGGTGTAATTAAGTCTTTCCTCTTACTTAGCTTTGTACTTGTTACTCAATATGGCAACAACTGAGGAAATAGTCTCACAATACGAGGAGATGTTTTCTAAACGATTTACGGGCGAAGATGAGGAATACATGAAGACAGTGAACAAGCCTCAGGCTTCTCCTCCCTGCCTTACGGATTGGATAAACACAGGCTACAGAGACAGGTAATATGAGTCATGGAACAATTTTACAATGCCTTCTCACTTCGTTGCTTATGCCTGAATGCATTGTAGGTGTCAAGAAGCAATAATACATGTTGTAGTGACACTGGAAGTGGACATGAAACCCGGAATATCCCGAAAAAAACGTACAATGAGTGAAGTGCAAATTACAACCAGAAACCCTGGCTCTTATCTTAAAAATATTAATAATTCTCCTTCTGGTTGTTCGTTTATCTGTTTTCATTTGGTTTGTTTATATGTCTTATGGTGTGTTCCAGGTTTTCTCAGTTAATTTATTTCACTGTGCGTGAAAGAAATGTGCAGAAATGCTGTTTTTGCACACCTAACCTGGTACCCTAAAATCTTCTGCCATTTCCACTATCAGGCATATTACGAACTCACAATGACCTGCTCTCCAGTTGGCTTGTTAAACTCAATGGATAGAGCGATGTGCCTGGTCATCACATACATCAAGCCTGAAATTTTTCAGGTTCTTTTTCGAGCACTTAGGTTATTCACTCTACTGCAATGGTCACTTTCATATCTTTATCCACAGTTCAAAATATTATTCGTTTTATATATTTTAATTCAAGTCATTTCCACCAATGGATATCTTATGAACTCACAATGGCCTTCTCTTCAGTTGGCTTGATAAGCTCAATGAATAGAGCATTGCATCCAGTCATTGCAAAGGTCAGGGTTTGATTTCTGGTCAAGCCTTAATATTTTCAAGTTCTTTTTCAACCGCTTACAGTGTTCCAGTTAATTCTTTTAGGCAGGGGGTCATGTAGACCATCTGAGGGGTCACCAAGACCATGTGCTTGTTTTTTCGTTATATTTAACTTGACACTTATATGTCATCTGTTGGGTCAGGAAGCCTTCTTTGTCAGGTCATTGACCCGAAACCTGTCACATATCTGGAACACTGTGCTTAGGTTGTTCATTTTGCTAGGAAGATCATGATTACTTTCGTATCTTTATTCACAGTTCAAAATAATTATTCATTTCTTTTATTTCAATTCATATCCATTTACTCTGACACCAGTTAGCAGAGTGCTCAACTACAGAGCAGTAGCAGGTCATCGGTTCAATCCACAAGGCCGGACCAGCACTCGGGGTCTAAAAATTACATGGATTTGAAGATCAAATTGCTGGACCTTCACATACTTCACATGACAAAATTGAAAGGGGGTCTTTTCTCTGGCAGGAGACATAAAAATAGTGCGATCCTAGATACATTTTAGTACTTTTGTGCTAAGAACATTGACATGTAGATAAATAACGTTTTTTTTAATCTTCTTATCTCGTTTTTTGTTTCTTTAAGTCTTACTTGGACTTGTTGGGAAAATATTGGAATTTTGATTTTACTTCCAACAAAGGTCAATCTTTTTTTGTATTATAAGTAAAGTTTCCCTTCACATATTTTTCTTTCATGATTTAGTCGCCATGAGGGCAGAGGGGATAGCAGGGGCTATGAAAGATCAAGACATGACAGTGGGCGAGACTATGGCAGGCGATATGGGGACCACGGAGACAGACATGATGACAGATCTCGGCATAGAGATGATAGGTATTAACATTATTGTGTGACAGTTAATTTAATTGCCTCCTGAAATGTCATATTTCCAGATAAAGTACATGTATTGTTGGTGTTAAGTCAAGCCAAAGATTTTATTATTTTGATTATTTCTTGTTTTCCATACTATCTGATCAAACTTGCCAAACATGCAGTAGTAAATTTTTATTATAATAATTTTATACATGATGATTGTTACCATTTTACCAGTTATTTTCAAAGTTAGGAGGCTGATTATACTAAAATAAATATTGTTATTTTGGTCAAACATTCCATAAGTGACCACTACGCAAATGCGAAGAGTTACTGATGGTGTAGGGGAGGTGGTCACTTATACAGTGTTCTCCTTATCAAGCGGTAAGCGGTAAAATTTACCATCGAAACAGCACTTCTTACCGCCTGGAACCGCTTGAAGGTTTACTAACATTGAATAAGTTGTTTTAAAAAATATGCAAGTTGTGATCCGATCCGATTAAGGTAGTGAATGAATATATGGAAGTGTACTAAAGTATACACAGCTTCTCTTTTCATGGGCCATGCATTTTGGAAAGAGAGCATTGAAGACATCATTGGAATCAAACGTTTTAAATTGTTGTCTAAAGATAACAACTGCTGATTTGCGTAAAATAGGTCTTAAAATTAGGGAATTACGTTTCAGAGAACTTAGCTCCTAAATTTCACAGTGAGGTTGAAGTCATGTCCCTCACTCCCCTACTCCCCTCTCCCCAGGAAAGTGTGTCTCTGGCACATATTTTTTTCCTTACCGGCCATGAATGGTCCCTTACCTGCTGAGCTAAAATTTAAGGAGAACACTGCTTATAAGAGTTGGACTGCAGGAAGTGTTTTAGGAAGCGAAGCCCTGACCAACTACTTTTTTGGAGAGAATGTATTGCATGAAATTTTTAGGTTATAATTAGCGGTAATAATAAATTATTCCCTGAGTGCACGTTGGATATGAGATGTTAAACAAGGCATGTAGCGCTGAGATGGCTATAATTGTCTTGTATCCATCAACTGCTAGTGGAATAATTTTTGTATTAAAATTGCCCACAAAATGTCAGGGTCGGAAGTTAACTTTTTGATATCGGCACCAACTGGCAAGCAAGTATGAATTGTTGGTTGCAAGAGGGCAAATTGCATTATCCAATGATTCAGTTTTAAATAATATTCATTAATCCATTTTGTTTCTAAAAGTTCTTTCTATACTCTGAATAGCAATGTACATACAGCGAACGCAAAGGCCAGCCATTTTATCAATAATTGGTTACTTAGAAGTGGTTAAAAGCTATGGAAAATTCTAAAACAGTTGTTCTAAAAAGAGGCTGTGGTGGTTAATGAGAGTTGGTCATTTACTAGAAGTTCCAACTATGTTCTGGATAAGAGGTCACTTATGGGAAGTGGGTGCTTATCAGAGTTGTTCACAGTTAGAGGTTCAACCATATTAGTATTTCAGTATAAATGCACCGAACAAAAAAACAGTCATAATGATTTCCTTTGTTATTTGGTCCAGATATGGTGGACGCTATCGAGATGATCGTCACAGAGGATATGAAGATCGTAACAAACCTGCTACAGAATACGGCTCTCGAGGATATTACGAGTTCTTCTACTGATGACTTCTGTATTATAAGGAGCATAAACCTTTTTTTACTTTGTAAATGAAAAACTAATAAGCAGTGCATGAACAGCTTTCACAACTGCTGCAGAGTAGACCTGACCCTTCCACAGTTTGACAGGGACCAGGTAGTGAAAATCCATCAACACAGCTGGAAAAAATGCCTTAAAAAATCAGCAAAGTTGCCAAGTTTGAAAGTTATTTGTTGAAAACTACCAAGGATATAGCTGTATGTCACAGACATTTGCACAGTGGGGGCCAATTACAGACGTCTTTAACCCTTTAAGCCCCAATATCCACATACAAATTCTCCAAACTGATCTCTATACATTTCCGTAAAGATTTAGTTGAGAGAATTTGATAAAAGATCAAGGTATTTTCTCTTTTGTGATCATTTTATTAACTCTCATAACCTATTCTCTTGCCAATGTATGGATATTGCTAGGAGAAAATTGATGTTGATCACTATTGGGACTTTAAGGGTTAAAATTTACTTTGTGGTGCAATATCCTCACTCTCTGTGGATGTATCACCTTCAAGCTTGGTAAGTTTCCCAATTTTAAGGTGCCCTTCCCAGCAGTATCAATGGATATTTGCTTGCTGCCCTCTAACAAAAGTCAAGTGGAAACAAAAAACGGTTGAAGGGTATATTAATGAAAGCGTGCATATGTAGCATCATCCAAGGATGGCCTTTTTGTGTTAACATACTTAAAAGCAGCAAAATTATTGAAACTCATTTTGTTTGTTTGCTTAGAAGTAGTNGATGTTGATCACTATTGGGACTTTAAGGGTTAAAATTTACTTTGTGGTGCAATATCCTCACTCTCTGTGGATGTATCACCTTCAAGCTTGGTAAGTTTCCCAATTTTAAGGTGCCCTTCCCAGCAGTATCAATGGATATTTGCTTGCTGCCCTCTAACAAAAGTCAAGTGGAAACAAAAAACGGTTGAAGGGTATATTAATGAAAGCGTGCATATGTAGCATCATCCAAGGATGGCCTTTTTGTGTTAACATACTTAAAAGCAGCAAAATTATTGAAACTCATTTTGTTTGTTTGCTTAGAAGTAGTTTTCTTGTTGATACTTGTCACTATGTTGTATAAGTAGGATTTCAATAAGGTGCATGTTTCTGGTAATAGTCTCCTTTTGTTTTCATTACCATTTTTATTTTTAAAAAACCCTGTCCTGTTGTCCGTGCAACATGTTGCATGAAATACAGTTAACACTGCAAGTAAGAGCCTTGTTTTTAAGAGCCTGTAGGGTTTTCATTTAAAATTCTAGTAGTAGGTGAAAGGTGCAGCCTTACCGAAGATTATTTTTGAAAGAGGCTCCACGCCTATAGTCATAGTCTACCGAACGGTAGCAGAATTCTCTGATCTCTGATGCCTAATAAACACCGTAGACCTGATAGGCGAAATTTTCCAGATAGATCACTTATATACAAAAACCTTTTGAGCCTTAAACTTTTGAACAGTTCCTATCTTCTAAGATAAAAACATATATGATATTAAAGAAGGACTTCAAAATTCATGCAATCGATGCTTCAGTTATTTTTATATTCATTTTCACATAAATACTTATTTGGTTTGCAGATTTTATATAAGGATAAGGCTGAATACTACTAAATTCTGTTAGCTACAATGTAACTTTTTTCTTCAGAAAATAAGAACCTTTGAAGAACCTGTAAAGCTTAACCTTCTGCCAGTTACCAGTTATGTTAACAGGGCTGTTATTAACCCTTTAACCCCTAACATCAAAATTCAAATTCTCATGTGTTATCCCTTCACGTTTTTAATAGAAGTAGTGGGGAGAATTTGTTGAAGTCTCATTTGGAGTCATTCTGTGTGATCATGTCCTTAACTCTCACGACCACTCTGTTTTAGAAAGCAGTCATATTACAAGGAGAAATTTGATGCTGATCACTCTTAGGGCGTGCCTGGAATGTCCTCTGGCTACCATGAATGTGAGTCCCGGCTACTTACATAGAAAAATAGAAGAAAAATAGTACCAAAGGAAATCCCTAGCTGCATGCTTGATTCCCCATCTTCTTGTTAAAGTATTTACCCGGCAACTTGAAATCTTAGTTACAGCCCTGTATGTTAGAACCTGTTTTGGTTGGCTTGGGAAACTGCAGGTTCTTACTCGCGGTTGTTTGCTTTATTAATGTTTTAAATTATTTAGCACGAAGCAGTAACAAAGTCACTAAGGGCTCTTTCAATTTATCAGAACTGACCACCCAGACCATTCCCGTTGAAAAATGTAAATTTCAAAACTATCCAGCCAGATCAGTCAGGTCCTAAATAGTAAACGTTTCCACGAAGGAGATGTTTTTCTAGTAAAAACTCTTGGAACAAGCCTATGTAATTACAAACTNCGGTTGTTTGCTTTATTAATGTTTTAAATTATTTAGCACGAAGCAGTAACAAAGTCACTAAGGGCTCTTTCAATTTATCAGAACTGACCACCCAGACCATTCCCGTTGAAAAATGTAAATTTCAAAACTATCCAGCCAGATCAGTCAGGTCCTAAATAGTAAACGTTTCCACGAAGGAGATGTTTTTCTAGTAAAAACTCTTGGAACAAGCCTATGTAATTACAAACTGACCGGTCTGGCCGGAGTCGGGGCAGCCAGTTCTGACTTTAGGAAAGTGCCCTAAGATTTTCAGTGTGTCCTTTACAGTGCATACGATGGGGAACGTCCTTCAAACGTTTTTTCACTAGAGTGCCCATTTTTGGCCTAATTGTACTGTATTATCTCATCTCTTTATGTGAGAAACGGTGTCCAGGTGTACGTAGCATCTCATTAGAGGACTTTCTCTGTATTCCAGTTTTGGATCACCGACAAACAGTTCAACGCATTGTGAATAAATGTGTCGTCACATTCTCCATGACAGTTGCGAACAACTTGAGTTTTTTTTTTTATGTCATGTCTGGTATTCTCAGATATCTACAGCCTCTTACTCCTTTTAATGGAACACTGGAAGGTCCTTGCTCAACTTTTCTCTCACTCTTTAATGATGGGTCTAACACCTCTAACTCGGGTGCCTGAAATGTACCGTGAAATTGTCGTCTTTTAAACTTCATTTTCAATCCAATTAGTCGCGCTACCACGGCCCAGCTGACCTGACAGCCTGCTTCAGTTTCCTCTGTTGCCATTTTCACCGTTGTATCAACACTCTGTAATTTTTGGCCTTTGTTGGACCTTTGTGTATTGTTTTCGTCTTTTTCTTGATTGCTACAGTCGTCCGAAAACTTCCAACTCTGTAATCCTGACGCCACGTGACGTACCCCGTCGTGTTTAGGTGAATTTGTCTTTAATTTTCCCAGCGATCCATGGTCAACACCAACTCCTGGGATTTTCTTTGTCACTGAGCGGCTTATTGCTGTTTTCTCTCCATGGTGACAATTGCCGTTTCGTCTCTTTTGATTTACCATCATTCTAGCTTGATGACGATTACCTCCTTGTATAGTTAAAGGTTTTCTCTGCATTACTGATGGGTTTGAGCTGATCCCGCTTTGCCAGGAAGAAACAAACCCGGACCCAATGTGTGTTTTTTGACGGTACAATGGTAACACGTTCATAAATTCATTTCCTGTAGCAAGCAGTCCTCTTTTAAGAGCAGTCTCTCTACCTTTTCTCGTTACCTCCGGTAGCTTGTCATCCATTCTTGCTCGAGCGGAAGAAGGCCTCAATACATTCAGTTTTGTTTCTTGTCTAGAAAGAAATTCAACTTTCTTAAAAGACAGGAAAGCTCTCTCTTTCTCTTTCTGCCTCTGGATAACATGGCGATATTTCTCGAGCTGATTTTGTTGCTGGTTTTTTAGTGCTTCGGTTTGTCTTTCCTGTTCCGTGGCTAAAGCATACACGAACGTCACGTTTTCCATTAGACTTACCGGACTCTGGTTTTATATATGAGCTCCGAATAGAATGAAGGCCATAAGTTTGTGGACATTAGAATTCTAGTTTGAAAACCTGATGGTTCTCTATGGTTTTCTGTGATAATTGAGGTCATTAACACATCGTAATTAACTTTTCTCGGTACTAATGAGAACGTTAACGCGATTTTTGTAAGTTAAACAAAGTGTAGAAATCATCTATGAATCGGAATATGTTTTCTTCAGCAGACTGATTTTTGTTTCTGAAACAAGTGCAAAGAATCTGACGGTCTTGAATTTTGGAATAACACTGCATGAGTAGATTATGAGCTGTTTCCCTTTTTGGTGTTTCAGTAGTTTTACATTAAAGCTATAATTTTAATTATTAAACACTACAGGCCTTATGGTTCGGGTGGGTGGCGCTTGACGCTGTTTCTACAAATTGGATGACACCTTTTTGAATGAGTCCGAGGTCTCTTTGACCTAACATACGTACGGTCCAGTAAAATTTTTTTGCGTCGATTTGCTTTCGCTATTCAGCACATGAACCGCGCGAAAGTGTTAAATGGGAACGAACTTTTCTGGCGATGAATTGACAGACGAGATTGTAAGCTAAATATCCTTCAAGGAATTGTCTTTTTTGTTGTTAGTTGTTTTTTTTTTCAGGATCACTAATTAAACGGTTGAGTCAAATGAATGATAAATACGGATTTCTTCATCTTATTTTATTTCCGAAGTTCTGTCACACGAGCATTCATATGTTTATTTAAAATTGTACAAAGCTTCCAGTTGTCTGCAGTTTCAAACAGAACAGCTATAACTTGTTTTCCGCCGTGTGAAAATTTCGCCAATGCAACTCGGTTGCTCGTTAGTACAACGAGTACAAATTGCTTTCTCCCGTTAAAACGGGGCTGCATGAGTTATCCTAGTGTATCTTCGTAAGACTATGAATATTCAGCCTTTTCAAATGAACCAAACGCATAAGACCTAAAGCCTCTTGGGTTTTATTTGGCTACAGGAAGCAACAAAGACCTTCAGTTGGAAAAAGGCAACCCAATGAAAAGTTCTTTATCTGCGAAACTTTTAATGGTGTCTAATTTATCCTGATAAAGAAAGCTGGTTGCATTGAACTTATTGCTGATGAAAGTACCGCTACTCGCTCCACGTCCTCGAACTTTCGACCGGACCCATGCATCAAGGAAGCTAAAAGTTACGGATGAGACGAAAAATCATCAAAAACCTTCGAGACGACTAAAGTTCCCCTGAGACTTCCGATCAGATATATAGTCTTTTAGGGCACTGAGCTTTAACCAAGCAAGCTTCTAAAGCATAAGGAAAACCTCTTGATGTACCTCTGACGTATTTGGAAACATTCGACCGTTGCGTGGCCCTGTTTTGTTTGTTTAAAGGAGCTGTGTCACGAAATTCAGCCAAATTAGGAAATTACAAAACGCCCGTTAAATTAAGAGAAACACAAAAATAACCGCTTAAAACGTTAAAGGAAGGTTAAAATAACATAGCAGAAACGACAGATGTCACGGATGGGCAAAACTGAAGAAAGATTGAAACGGATTGAAATTAGGATTTTTGAAAACTATTCAGCCTAACAGTTTTTCAAAGTTGATCCCTGCGGCTGGCAGCTTCAAGAATAATGCTCAGGAGACATATATGTTCGTCTCGGGTCTCTGATTTTGTCATTTACATGTAATTTCTTTGCTTACTTTAAGTTCCATAGCGATTGAGGGCGGGTAATTGGCAAAATTAAACAAAATGAACTGGACTGCCGTGACACAGCCCCTTTAATCCACTCTAATGCGCATCGTCGTTGACTGCCACTAAGCCTCATGCCACAAGACTGAGGGGAAGCTTCTAAAAACGTTATATTGGATTTCAATATGAATGAAAAACAATTTTTTTAAAAATTTTATTTAAGCTTAAGTACCAGAGTATACAAAATTGACAGAACAGGAAGCTGTCTTACTCTATGGAAGTGAAACGTGGACCCTAGCAGAGAAGCTGGGGTAAAGTGTCAATGGATGCCACACCAGTATGCTGTGAACGGCCCTGAATGTACACTGGCAACAACAAATGAATAATCAGGAACTAAACTGGAGCCTCCTAAGAGTCAGTGAAACAATTGGTGCGAGGAGATTAAGAATACGCAGCCATTGCTCCTGTCACAAAGAAGCTCGAAACTGCTTAAAAAAGTACAGTGTTTTGGGGGGAATCCCAACATGGTCACCCAGATCGAGATAGAGCAATAACTTCATACATTGACACCATCAAGGATGACATTGGACTGGTGATAACGACAGAAATAAGAGACACCATGCTCGATCAGGCCGTGTGGGAAGATTTTGTCAGGATGGCTGGGGATGATTCCCGGCCTAAGAAGAAGAAGAGAGGGCTCCCACAGGGCGAACTGTTCGAAAGACGATTGGCGCGAATTCACGATTAGCAACTATGACAACCCAACTGGTCTTGAACAACACGCCCCAGGGTCTTAGCCGAGCGGGGCCAGTATGAGGTCAGCGTTTTGGAAGACCTTCCTTTTTGCCCCTCCAAAACGCTAGAGCTCCGTTTTCAAACGCTCTTCTGTCGGCTTTGTGTTCGAGAACTTCCGTTTCCATAAACCTATCCTTTTGACAACCTCCGCAATAATGATTTATTGTGTACTTAAACTCAGGGTTTTAATTGTTTCAGCGCTAAAGCCGGGTCGCTAAAACAGGTAACCGTGGTTCTTTCAAAATTGCGAGTCGCCCGTTGTTTGTAACTTTAAATGTAATGTTGAGGAGACATCTTTCCTTTTTTTGCCACGAAGCTGTGATTTGTCATCCACAAGTAAGATCAACAACGAGTAAAGGCGATTATTATAATTCATTCAAAATAAAATATTTCTTTTTTTCTGATAAGCTCAAATCCACAGGTAATTCTTCATAACACCGCCCTCGATCTGCCTAAGTTTTGAGATCGTACGAAAGCCGAATCCAGTACTAAGTGATAGGTAATGGACCTAGATTGCCGTGCCAGAGGCGTTGCAAAGTCAAGGAGTTAGAAAAAAATGATTTTTCCCTAACGAATCAGATAAGAAAAAAAGTTAGGGGTTGACAAATTGAGATAAACGGCATTAATGGCCAGTCCTAAATGATTAATTCCTTTTTAATCCCAGTTCTTTGTTCCGTGGTACAAGTTTCCTTCGGGAGCCACCATTTAACGTTCTCAACATAGCGCTAATCCGTTTAAAGCTAATAGATGTCTTTTGTTTTCCAGGAAAACTCCTAATGAACAATGATCACCAACACAGATCTCTTCTCACTCTCTTAAAATTTGCTTTAGGATTACATAGTTTAACTGTTTTAACAATTATAAGCATAGGTGCGTACTTTTGCAAGAATAGAAGCTGATAGATTTGACACTTAAACGTTTGCTCGTTACCTCCGCCAAACAATAATGGTACTCTAGCCCATTTAGGATATCGATTCCCAGATGTAAAAGTTTGATCAGAAAACATCAAATTTTGTTTTCTTTAACCAGATAGAAGGAAAAGAGCTTTTGCTTTGTATTAAAGACCGGCATGACGCCTTCTGGGCATCCTTAGTTGTGAACTAAAGACTTTTATTCGTGAGCCGATTAAAATGGGAGGGATTTGTTAAATACATGTCATTTAAGCCGGGCGCCACTGAGGTTTGTTCTTTACAAAGAAAGACAAACTTTGAATGGTAATTTTCGTTATACTTAAATAAGGTGTCGTTGTATTCAGTGATTATCGAGCGTTTTTTTCAAAACATTGAGGCATATTTTTATGTTCGAACACTGTACATATGATGAGTAGCAGAGAGTATAAGAAAGCCGTAGGCAGAAACAATGCTTTCGAAGGAAACTTACAGAAGAACTTGGATGACATCGAAGGCCAAAGGAATCGTTTTATCCGTTCGCAGAGGGAAAAGAAGTTGAAATTCATACATAAAGTATCGTCACTACCAAAGCTTCGTCTTCCGCTGCGTAATGCGACCGAGGAAAACATAGCTAAAAGTCCTGCAGCAGTTTCTCGACATCTCTCTCTAGATGATTCGACTCTGAGCGAGCTTCATGAAAAACGATTAGCTGCAGAGAAAAGGTTTTCTATACCATGTTTGACAACATCTTTTACAGTAACACCAGACAGCAGCGCTTTAAAGAGGCTTGGAAGCGGGCGAGAAGCCAATAACCTTGGGACTGTTTCCTTAGAACCCCACGCCATTTTGACCAAGTCACCGCAAACGCGAAGAATCTTGTTAGATCGACAGCTATCGTTGCCAGAATCATTGAATACAGCTGTCGAATCAGGTCATAGCCTTAGCGATGGTATGACTGGTGGTCAGAATGTCCCGCGCATTTCAGAAGTGGGTGCCCGGCGAAATCTGATGGTTTCTGCACCGTTTGTCTCTCTGGGAACACAGCTCCCTCACTCGCCTCTCTTGCAGAGAAAGCAGCGTTCCATGTCTTTGGATCCTACTGATCTAGGACAGCAGCAGCAGAGTGTATCGTTGCCTGGTTCGCCTTGTTTTCGTCGGCGCCGTGCTCAGACGTGGAACCCAGAAAATCAACAGTGGAAAGAAGTGCGTGCAGAACTGGGGAGACTACGTTCATTGGGTATTAACAGTGAGGAAACCTCTATAGCTGGACAAAAACGGATTGAGTCTAGTTTTGGACAGTTAAATTTAGTCGAGTCAATTCAAGGACAGAAGGATGTGTCCGGCGCAGAACTGTGTATGAGCCAACCCGCGAGATCCGAGGATGCTGCAGTGAACGCCTTGAAGAATGGAATTTGCAAACCCAGTGGTAAAGTAAGTTGTTTAACATTTGTAACGGAATATTAAGAACGCATATCCCCAAAACGGCGGCTTCTGGATCCTGTCTAAAAAATTCCTTGAAGAATTCAGATGAGCTCAATTTGGAAGCCGATTTCTTTCTGGTGTGCTTTTAAATCCGGTTCGACTCCACAGTGATGGGTCTTTGCAGCCTTCGCCAGTTCAATGAGTGATTTTGTTCCAAACGACATACGTCCTCCCTGTAATCCATGTCAAGTCAGCAAAAATTTGCATACATGCATAACAGTTCAAATGGGATTGCTTTTTTAACAGTAGCTCTGCGTTATAACATGGTTTTTACTTGAAATTTTTGGTTTATAGTCCTAAACGTTTCTAAAAGTGGCGAGATGTTGTTTGTTCTATTGGACAGGTCCGCTGCTTAAAATTCTACCACTTAAATGCTTGGCTTCTTAAAATAGTTTTACTTTTGTGGAGTACAGTACACCTTGCTGCCTGGTGCCACCTTACTTCTCAGATATGGCTGGGTGTCTCATAACTCAGTAATGAACGATACTCTATGCCCTTCCACAAACACCCAACGGCGGTTGTTTGGTTACTAAGCAGCACTATAGTTTGGCATGGAATAAACTTTTACAAGCGTACCCTCCAGCCACCCCGCGCGCGCGCTGAGTGTATACTTTTTACGTATTGAAGAGGCTTCTTTGAAGCATCAATTGCATGTTGATCATGATTTGCATTGAACACGGGTCTAAATAAGTTTGTAAGTTTTTGAATCTAAAGCGTTTACAGCTTCCGCTCTGAGGATCATGGTAAAAGGTCTCCAGAGCAGATAGGTTTGCAAAGGGATTTGCATCGTGAATGTCTTGTGGACTGCTGGAAACATTTAAGTTTGTAACAGGGTGGTTACAAAAAAAAAATCATTTATATATGTGAACTGCGGAGTGAATAATTAAATGAAGGATTGTCATGGCAGTTACATACTCAACTTTTGCAGTTGCAAAAAGAAAGCCTGAAAAAAATTCAGACTTGTACGGGATTCGCACCCTTATTTCTGCGATACCGGTGCTGCGCTTTACCAGTTAAGCTAACAAGCCAGCTGGGAGCAGGTTGTTGATCGAATTGGTTCGTTATAAACCCGTTAAAGGATGATGATGAAGTGAACTTATGAGCACAAACCCAGTTCTAGCCGACAATGATTATAATGATTATTCGAATAACTCCAATCGTGTTGAAAATTTTGCTTGGACACTACTTGATATCAAAAATTCGAGCACGAGTTTAACCCTTATACACTTCAAACAAAATATCAGGTACGTCAAAAGTCAGAATCTCGAAAAAAAAACAAACTAGCACCGTGTGAAAGTTCTGACTAAGAGAAGATTCATTTGAAATGATACGTATTCACCAGTAAGAAATGTCCACAGACTCCAAACTTAGAGTGCATTTTTCTCCATATTTTATTTTATGATTTGAAAAACAAAATTAATTGATTTTAGCGGGCTTTTTTAGATTTGAAGCTTTTTCATCCAGAAAATTTTGCAGCAATAAAGACAAATTAGAGACAACACATTTTTGTACATTCAATAGGAAAAGTTTACATAAGAAATTTAAGAACTTACTCTGAATAAAGTGAATAATCATTCATAAAGATAATTCATATCTTCAATCCATTGTACACTCACTCAAAGGTTGTTTTGCCGATTTTGACACTATTGTTCTGGTAACAAAAGCAGACTTAAAACCTAAGTCTTAATGACTTCTGATCTATGCTTATATACCTCATATAAACAATTCGACTAGAGTTATTTGCTGCAATAAATTAGCCACGAAGCATAAATGTGTGGATCCATGTAACCACGAGAGCCGGCAAAAGTTCATCATGGCTCACGGTTATTCCTTTCAAGAGCTAGCTAAAAAAGACGCGATATACATTGATAAAGTAAAGAAAGCCTTGGATAAAAATTCAACCTACGATATTGAACTAAAGAAATCGTTGTCGTGTCTACAGAAAGAGCGAAGGAGTTTTATTAATACCTTGAGCAAGGAGAAGCTCGATTTCGTAAAAAGGAAATGCAAACTGCCATCTATCCGCCTTGCTCAATCTGGTCGTGAAAGAGAAAATGCGCAGACAAAAATTGCCGAGTTTTGTTGTGATGTGTGGTCAAAGGACGCTTTAAAACGGCGTGCCGACTCCCCAGTATCGGAATTAAGATGCAGCAGCTCGGCCTCCAGCAAAGATATGAACTCATTTCTTCGTGAAAAGAGCGTTCTTTCCGAAAGTGGTTCTACAATAAAAAGGAATGGTTCCTTAGACCAACCACGGATTGCCTGGCTCTCAAAAGACGCGGAAAACAAAGGCTCTGCCACCGATCGAACTAACTCGCCGTCTTTAGATTATCCGCCTCAACGTTCATCACCCTCACCTCATTCACTATATTTTCGTTCGCTTGAACAAACAGATCTAGAACGGTGTCGTTCGCTTCCCGGCTCACCTTGTGGCAGGCGACGGGCTAACACGTTGGACACTCCAAGAAACTTGTTTCATGCTAAGAGTTTTGATAACCTGAAGAAGCCTGTAGAGCGCTCACAGTCTACACCGTTACGAGATCCAAGGCCTCGCGCCGAATCGACACCTCCTGATTTTGAGGTAAGTCTTTTTTGTGAGAAAGCTCTGACTCTTACCAGAGAACAAACAGAAGGACAGGACTGAAGTTTATGCATCAACTGGAAGGCTAAAGGCAACATGATTAGATCATGACGGGTTAAAATTGTCTGATCTTAGCAGACATTCGTCACTGAGCGAAAACGCTGGTGTTATCTTCTTGTCGTACAATTCAGCGAGTAATCAGGCGAGTACAATGCGTTTAAATGTCAATTTACGTGCCCTGTTTAAAACCTTTGCCTGGAATTGTGCGATACGAATTCCTATCACCAATCAATTGTGTCAGTAAAAGAATGAGGAGGGTGTGAATGGGGTTTAGTGTTTAGTGTTATTTGCCCCAAAGTTTTAGTGTTTGCTGTTAAATTGGTCAATTTTTTTAATGTTTACTGTTTCTGAAGAAAATACTGGTAAGTGTTTGGAGGGTTCTTCGGACATCTTCGGCAGTGGTCGGACCTCTTCGTTAGTCTTCGGAAATCTTCGACAATCTTCGGTAGCCTTTGGAAATCTGAAATAAATTGTTGTCAAATGGCCGAAAACTCTTGATATACTAAACAAGATAATATTGGTCTTTTTGGAGCCGTTTTTGCTTTTTTCTGGAACAAATTAACATTTTCGAACAATTTTTTACTGTTGGTTAAAATGCCTAAAATTTAACTGTTTCATGTTATAAAGCCAAAAAATGAGGGCATCTCAGTTTTGGAATATTTATTAGAGTATTGTACAAAACGATTGTTATTACATCAGCTTACAGCTTCCTTAATTCGTTTAGTAAGATGTTTCCTTTAATTCAGTGCTATCCATCAGAAGAGCATGTTTTTTAATACTTGAATTGAGGTTCAGTTAATTTTCCACCTACCTCTCGATTACCTCGCTCGGGGCATTGCCCGTAATACAAATAAAAACAGCTAGTAAACCATCAAAAGGGCTGTTATTTAGCTTCAATGGTGTCAAACCCGTAAGAAAACATTTCTACATAGTCTTCCACCCCCTTACAGTGTGGGGAAGGCTGGCATTTTAGACTATTTTCACGGATAAAAAGTTGCCCATTTGTTTGGTTACTGGCCGTTGTTTGAACTTTCTAAAAAAAAATCAGATCCTACCAAAGTTCTCCTTTAAAGATTTTTATAGCCAGCATCATGAGCTTTCTGGGCAGTCTCTTAACATGACGTTATTCGGTCTAACGTGAAATTTGCGGAAGATGCATTTGCTGCGTATTAAACAAAAGTTCCTTCGGCCTCATTAATTATTTCGCGTGGCCTTTGCCGGCGTTTCGTCACCGAAATTTATCGACAGTGAAGGCCTGGAAAAGCGTTGTATAGGGAAAGAGCATTCAGCGAAACAGTGGCTCAACCAGCTTTGATTTTCTCTATCTCCTAAGCTGTTCTAGTGTGGCGCGCGCCTAGAGCAGGGGGTATGGAGACTAGGTCTGGCTGTCTTCTGATGGTGGCTCTGCGTTAAACCTTTAAGTTGCCACAAACAATCAAAAACAACATTTCCGCTACGAAGCCCCCGGATTTATATGAGGAGCAATACAATTATGATGACTAAATGTTTGATAAATACTGATTTATTTCTTAACTTGGCCACTTATTAATTATTATTTGTTGCATTCAAGGAGGTAAACAATTCGTTGACGTCACCGCGAGCCCCTCTGTCACCTCGGATAAGACGGTTGCGGCTGGCATCTTTTCATGGTACAGGAGCTGGCCAGTCAGAAGGTTCTCAAGATGTTTCACTCGAGCCCCGCTTACCAAGGCTTCAAGACTCACGGGGATCTCTACCGGGATCATCGAGAGAAGGACAAGAAAGGCAGAAACGTCGAATTTACGGCATGGCCCCAGAAAAATTTGCCATCGAGTTATCTCCTCGGAAGGAAGCACTAAGCCATCCAAATATTTCACCCAAACTTGTGGACAGGCAGCATCATCCTGCCGGTGTCGTGGGAAAGGAGTGTTTCAACGGACGATCTACAAAAACTGATTTTGCTAAAGAAGAAGGAGAATTTGGAGAAACCCCAGTAGTGCAAGGTGACGGTCAATTTGGGTGGTATACCAATGATGATAATCAGGAGGCGAGTGGCAGTGACGAAGGCGAAAACGAAGAAAACCCGTTCACTTTCCAATTTAATGAAAAGAAGATTCACTCTATGGAAGAGATTCAATACACCCGCTACCTACGTATGAAATCTCCGAATCACTGGCTGCCAAAGATGGGAAAAGTTCCGCTAAATTTGCTTTCGTCGGCCATCATTGTCGGGCACACAAGGTTACCTTACGAAACTGTGTCTTCTAACCAAGGCGAAGAAGAAGATGAAGGTGAAGATGAACAGAATAACGTTGAAGAGAAAGGCAGTTCCAAGACTGGAGATGATGTTAAGGAGTCACAGAAAGTGAAAACAGAAAACGAGGAGTTTGAAGACAACAAAATTGACCTCGATTACTCAAAAAATTAGAAGAAGCAAGTAGAATGGGCCCTTTGTACAGAAACGGTGACATGGGACAAAAAACATGCACCTTGCTGGATGACAAACGACACAATGGGTCAAGAAAAACAAAGAGATCACATCATTCAAAAAGCTCATAATCTCTTTTCAAGATCCCTCTGCGTTGTTCGCCCTCCGGCAAAACTTTTTTGTGGATCCGCCACTGCGACATGTCCCATTTTTTAAGCCCATGAACAACTGATAAAATAAGCCCTTACGCATGGTAGCTAAAAAAAACTGGTCAGGAATGGGCAATTCAAGAATTTACATTTATTTATTCGCGTTTCCGGAATCATAATTCAAAGACACAATGAACTAAGTGATTACTGTATAAGCAATTGAAAACTGCGGGTGTAAATAAAGGTAAATAGAAGTTACCTGATTTCAAACCATGATGTATTTTATTTAGTTTGCTTGAGCCCCCAAATATTCATTCTTTTTTATATAAGCACAAAGAGCATACTCTCTTTTTGAAACAACTTTTAAGAGTCGGTTATTTAAACGAAATCTAACTTAGCGCGCTTTTCATTTGTCAGACTGATCCGGCCGCCAGATCCCCCTTCCCGTCGTAATGAGAATTTCACTATTCCTATTAATCCCCAAAACTATCCAGCCAGATCAGTCAAATCCTAAATCCTAATTTCATCGTCAAAATGACTGGTCCGGCAATAGTCCAGCCGGCCAGTTCTGAAAAATAGTAAGAAAGTGCCCTTAGACTGCAGTTTAAGAAATCTTTGGCCCCTTTCTTCAGTGGTTTATTTTAAGAATACAAAATATTGTGCTTTTCTTGTCTACTCTATATGAAACTGGATTATCACAGTGATTTATTGGTGTTTAGATAAAAGTGATGCGGAAACTGAAAATGGCTTGTTAAACACCGTTTGCTGTTTAGATAACAAGCCCTAAAGCCAAGAAAACCATGACACGTGGCTCAAATTCTTTTTCACGCCGGATGAGAGCTGAAAAAATAGGTTGATGAAACTGATTAGAAGTCTGAATGCGGAAACCAAGAGCTCACTATGGTTCTTGATGAAAGCGTAAACGTTTCAGTCTCTAGTTTCAGCTTCGCTGGCCGGCTAACTGGCTGGCTACGCATATCTGCTTCGAGATCTCAATAGTTCATTGCTTTTAAGCCTGCTGAGGTTGACCAACGGAATTACTGCTGATTTACGAAACTCAATATTAAAACATAGCTCGTCTGAGCGCGATACACGTTCAGCTTTGTTCAGTATAACCTCATCAATAACTAATTATGGTAAATATAAGGGGAAAAAAAAGGAAAAGACGAGCGGATGGATGGGTTTATGGGTGAATAACATGAAATAGATGAATGAACGATCGAATCCACCGGGGGTACACTCTCATCAGGATAGGTGTGTGCCGTTGAGGGTCTCAAACCTTGACCCTATTTAAGGTAGAGACAAACGAATATTGATACCCTTTTTATGGTCCTACCCGAAAAATGACACCCTCTTGAAGGTAAAAACAAAAACTAAGGCCCGGTTTAGACTCCGAACTTTTCATGAGCCGAACCTCATGCATTGAATTAAGTACACAAAACGTTCGGCTTCTTAATCAGTTAGGAACGCGTATTTCAATTTGGAACGGCTCAGCTGTTCCTTTCGCCTAGTACGGGCGGGAATTTCGATCGACTGTGGAACGACATTGGAACGGTTGTGATTCAGTCGCCGAACTGTACCCAACCTAATGCATAAATCAACGTATTTTGCAAGCAAGGAATTTGACCGAAATGAGCATTTTTCTTCTTTTAAATTTAGCCCCGCTGGAATTAAGATCAGCGTCTGAATCAATTCGGCCGGTCTAAATAATTTGGGTCGGCTTTAATTGGAATTAGGTTTAGCTCAGGTGGCGACACATACACCTTTATTATATCGCTTTTCTAATAATCTACGACCGGGATAGTTTATAATTAGTTCAGGAGCCTCTAACAATGGGCTCCTGTTTAGTATTAACAGATGATTTGTTTTCCATGTATTATGTAGCTAGGCATTTACGCTCTTGAATCTTAGCTGATATAATAACGGTAGTCTTATATAAATATCATACCGGGAACACAGTGCCGGCTATACTCTATCGGGGGTACATATCTATATATGGGAGTATCCCCTGGCTCTGCCCACCAAGGGAACGAAACAGGCAGGCGGATGGACAAACGGAAAGTGACGAAGGTCGGAATCTTCTCGATCTCAAATTTAAAATTTTATACTACACCCACATTTATATCAGTTCGGAAAGAACAGATTTTTTACTGATATTTTTCTCAACTTGGGAGCACCCGCCGATTCATGCATTCCTGCCACCCGTGAGGAGGTCGTTAGTCCTTGAATTGAAACATCATTTTTTTCCTCGAGGTCCTGAAAAGGAACAAAAATTAAGAGGAAAGTAAGACGTTAAACTCACATTCCATTATCCTACTTATGTCTTAAATTTCGAAAAAAAAGCCTCCAACGAAATTTCGACCTGTTTCCAGGATTTTCTCAGCATCAATGCGGTGTAAAAGACGAATTAGCTGTGTACATTTCTGGTTGTTTTGACTAGTCTGCAAGCTAGCACTGAGTCTGTGGGGGTCCTATCGGCCATGTACCAGAACGGTCATGAGGTCCTTTTAAGTCCCAAGGACGTTGTTTTACAATTGCCGCAACTAAAACAACAAATACCTTTCAAGCTCAACTGTTACGGCGGCCTGGCTGAACTCACCGTTTTAGATCTAGAGTTTGTGTTAATAGTTTCACCTTTCGTCGTAGCCTATAACTTGTGCTTATTCATCGACACAAGCCGTGTCCGTCTGAATTCGTTAAAATGCACAAGAACTTAATATGCGTTTACACAAAAATGACATTCTTCTGTTTAACAATACTAGTTGTAGAGACTGGTATGTTTACATCATTAACGTGTGGACAGAATCCGTTTATGAACGTATGTTTCTATGCGCTCACAATTCTTAAACGGACTCGTGTGGACACAACAGTCTTAAGGTTTCACTTACCCATTTCGATTTCTCAGACGCGCTATCGCCTTGTGGAATTCCTAGGACTGTAGAGGGTTTATTTTGCTTCCCTTTCCAGGTAGATGCCCGTTTACGTTGTGTAACATCATGAGGAGAGGAGGAAATGACTTTGTTCAGTTCTTTGGGATCCAAAGAGCGAGCGCGTTGTGGTCTTTTCTGTAAATACTGTATTGGGGGTCTCGGAGGACACGGACTCAAAGAGCTGGGATTTCTCGTTGCGATGGTTGTTTCTGGACTTATATGCAAGTTGTTCAATTGGTAGCTAAATCTCGAAATACTCGGTGAAGGGCATTGAACGTCAGTGGTGTTAACTGACAAGCTGTTATTATCAGAAGACATTTTTGAATGAATATCCTTGACTGTTAGAGCCGTGCTAGCTGGGTGTGTGTCGTTACTTTTGAGCCTGCGGAAGACCTCTTTGTCAACAATACTCTGCCGAGATACCAACTCATTTCTTCCCAGGACATCCCTGTCAGATTTTATGTGAATAGCACTACTTTCTTTACCCCCAAGCCTATCAGAAAGTTGTTCTGTTGAATCCTTTTTCTCCTTGTCATCTTGGCTGTGCCACGTTGAGGGCAGCTTATTGCATTTGGCACGCTGCGCAAACGTCTGTTTTTTCATTTCCCACGAGTGCACCAGTTGATTTCGTTGTCTTTGTATGTGCTTTAGATCTTTCTGCAGGCTTCCACCGTGGTACGAGTTTCTCACCATGGCCTTCTTTAAGTTGCGACTGTAGTGGCATATCATATCTTTTTCTAATAGTTCTTCCATCGCCCTTTATTCTTTCAAAACCCTTTACGAACACTGAGAGTTCAACTGAAAATAGCTAATTACATTTTAGGAGGGTTTACTTCACCTCCTTGACTACAATAGTTCTTGCAGATACCATCAGTTGTACTATACGCCCCGTAGACTCTTACGTAATCCATCGTGAGAATGCATCTCAAATTTAAAATCACAAAGCCGGTATTTCTGACAACATCTTAATAGACAGGACAAACGTTTGCTCAATGAAGCTAAAACTTTAGCACTTGATAGACTTGTGTCACTAATTAATTTCTCGGCATGTAAATTTTCTTTCAATACATTTTGTTTTGACTACTGAGTCTTTCGGGGGTCTTTTGTTTACCTATTTGATTGCCGTTTGCTTTCATTTTATTGATCAATCGAGCGGATTAAGCTATCTGGTAATGAATTTTTGAATTCAACAAAATACATTGTTTTATAATGTCATCATTGTTCAGCTCAACACTGTAAGACATCGTAGTAGTAGGACACATTCTAGCGCCTTAGAAAAACTTACAAGATGGGTGTTCCGTTAAGAAGAATAAAAAACCAGTCGGTGTTCGAATCTTGCTAGAGATGAAGTCGATAATGTTTTAACCAAACGCTAGGTAAATGCATTGTTTACAGTTTTGATTGGCTTACTTAATTGTTTAACAATCTGTGGTTGGCCTGGGTCGGTTTAAGTCAAGTTATCAAGTTTGGGTATAACATTTTTCGTGTAACAACCGTTTTTGTCAATTAACTGACTGAATTACACTGTATGTGCCGTCCTTTTAAAGCATAGTGATTCAAAGGAAATGGCTTCATCCCTTTTTGCAGGTAGATTGATGCTATTGTCAGTTCTGTTCGCTCATTTAAGTAGCATTAGGTCATTCTTCCAGAGCCCCTCGGCAACCACACGATGACAACACAAACATGCGACGGCCAGTCAAGCAACAACATGACCATGCAGGGGTCTCGCTAAATCCCTCAAGACGCGTGAACCTACAGTTTCCTTAACAGACAGAAGTGTTAATACAAAGGTCACAAGAAAACACCCACAAGGCGTTGCTGAAAAAAATTTCTGAAAATTCCCTAGAACATCGGCAAGCATGTGCTTAGAAATTCTTCATTCTCTAGTGGCCCGGAAAATTCAGAGGCAGGAAATTCGAAT